GCGAAGTAACTTGTCGTGTTTGGAGTAAAGGTATTGAAATTTTTCTTCAAGGTAGGAAGTGGAGGATAAATCATTTAAAATAGAGTAGAGAACAGACAATATTCTCGAAGTGCGCCTTTCGCGTATAGTTAGCCATTTAATGCAAATACGAAATTGAGAGATATGTCCACATTTTCAAATGCCGAAAATAAACCTGATGCAATTATTGAGAAGGCTATCAAGCTTATTGAGAATACTTTGGTTCAAGTCTGAGTAACAAACATCTGCATAATCAATGACAGGCAAGATGAGTGTTTGAACTAGGATATGCTTAGTTTTGTATGGGTGAAAGTTTTTCAGACGGTAGAGGTAGTCTTAAGGCAGCAGTGACTTTACGGCTGACCTTACTGACTTGTTTTTTCCAGTTCAACGTTTTATCCATGCATAGACCCAAGTTTTTTACCCATTCCGAGAACGGAATCAAATTTGCCAGCATTATTGAGCTGCCAACAAGCGTTACTTGATATTTAGATGGATTGACAGAATTGCCAAACCGCGATGACCAGTCATAAACGGCTTTCAAATTAAGGTTCAGTTTAACGATAGCATCATGTAGATTATCGATATCCGATTGCATATATATTTGGAGATTGTCTGCATATAGATGGTATGAATAATCAATGACGGAGGATATGTAGTTAATGAAAACTGAAAATAATATCGGAGACAGAATTCCGCCACTGGGAAGTCTCCTCCCTTACATGAATTGATTGATGGCGGTCGTGAAGATATGAGGAAAACCATTCTAAGACCGAGGGTGCAAATTTAAGATGAGTCAAGATACAGGAGTACATCGTGGTCAACTGTGTTAAAAGCGTTAGTAAACTAATCTACTAACATCATTACTATTACATTTTTGGTATCCATTCCATTGGTATCCAATCGTTACCAGTAAAAAGTGACTTTTTCTTTAGTTAACACAAGAAATATTAGGATTATTCTGATATTTTACGCTGATATTCTAGAGACCGTGTTATTCTGAGCTTAGAAGATTGAGCAGGTAACGACTACGATGCTTTTTATCTCGATTCTTAGCTTAAAATAGTTGAATATATCATATCTAAGAAAAGAAGAAGGTCATAGTAATCTATTACAATAGATTACTATGACCTTCTTCTTTTCCTTTTCGATCTTGTAAGAGTCAAGAGGGTTTTGTGCTCTCATGGACTTCTTAACATAAATTTTGTTTTTTTTTTTAATTATAAATAATACTCGCTATGCTCATAACATTAATTACAATCTCGATAATCAATTCAATTATTTTAAAATGCTGTGTGAGGTCCGATTTACGACAGGATTTGAATGACGAATTCTTATTTATGAAATCAACAAAAAGGGATGAAAAACTTCTAGCCCAAGGAATTAAGCCATATAATTCCAGCGCACACATTCAGAAATGAATCCTATAGAAAACCGTGAGGCTTTTCTGTACCTGTGCTCGAGGTTGACAATATCGGTTTCTTAACCTTAACCATTACGTAACTGTCACTTCTAAATATGCACATAAATATATTTTTAAAGAACATTACATCCCGTAGATGTTTTAGATTTTGGAATTTATATTGGCCAAACAAATACCAAAGGCCCGTAGCACTGCGTACAAACGCTTTGGATATGCGCCACCGAGACATCACTAAGTACGTCTTCTAAATACATGTAATGCCGATGTTCTTCTAGCCGATCCATGACCACGGAATTTTTTTCGGATAAGTGTTGGTTTATAAGTCTATACACAAACATGTAACGTGGTAGAGCCACGATGCAGCGGCACGAATGGGTCGGCTCGATAGCGGTAGGACCACGCTCTCCCAGAATACCAATGTGAAACAGAAGATTAATGCTGCTGTGTTTCTTATGGTGATTGTAGAGAATCAGAGTTCCTTTTAACTGATAACGAGGCATTCTATCACAAACATGCGGCATAACACACCTGAGGTCGATCACGTCTACATTTTGATTCTGATTATAGACATAGATATCTATGGGCCACAGACACTCTTACCTTCTTTTGGACTGTGTGCTCATTTACTAGTTATAATCTACGCGGGCACAATGTAACGCTTTTGGAATTGAATCGGAGGTATGTTAACTTACTTTTTCTTCATCAGTCTATTAGCACCTCACTTATTGTGGTGAGGGCGGATTATCGATAGAAGTATACGATGTTCGCCGTTGCTGATAATAGTATTGCGTCAGACGTAGACGCACTGTTTATACCAACATGTGTGATAAGTCATAAGATCTTTCTCATATTTAACATAGACCCCTCTTACAATACCCACGGAACAAAAAGGGATGTCTTACTCTTACACATTTCTGTGATTGAATATATATACCGTTACGGTTACAGCCCATTAAAAGTCTACTGCTGAACCTCCTCCATAGATTGCCTCACAGGGAGGATATTTGCCATAGTTGCCACGTTTGGTGGAACTATGGTAGGTGGAAAAAGCTGCTGCCCATCTTCTGGTTTGTTTCTATCTGTCACTTTTTACGACACCCACGGGAAGATATGGGGTAGTGGATATTCTTACACCGTCATTACATGGTCATATGTATATGTAGTACGTATAAAGAATAAGTCTTAGTTCGTATTACGAAATCTAAAATGACATTGTAAATAAGTGTTCTATTGTTTAAGATATTTAAATATGTTTTTAATCTTGTTTTAATGTTTTTATGTCTAAATTTTTTTTGGTTTTTCAAGAACGCTAAGCGCAACTTTTTCAGATTTGGTAATCATTAAGTGAGTAGTGCCTACAAAATATTTGAACGTCTTCTTTAACAAATTTATTTCAAGGGAAAAAAAACTACATCAATCTGTCTGCCAAAATAAGTCTTATGAACATTTTTGCGAGCAATCGTCGAGTATGATCTATTGTGTTTATACTTTCGATGAATTACTTAGCTGCGACCGCTTTCTCTTTCTTTGGGTTTAATAATTAGTACTCCAGTAGTAAATGGATGCTTAGTTTGCGAACTAGGATTTGGCATTCAGTTAATATATGCACACTTGTTTGACATTTTACTGTTTTCTATTTTTCTGTTATTTATATAATATATATTCCATTTACCATACTGACATAATTTCTATTTTCGTATACATCATTTATTACTTTATTTTGCATGATATAATATAAGGAATGTAAATATAATTTAAAATTGTGTTGAACTGAATAAATAAAATAAAATTCCTTAGGGAATTGAATTCACACATCCAGAAATTGTCACGAGGGCGACAAGGAAAGTTTTAAGAACTGATGGTGAACTGATTTTTTATTACTTTCGATGTCATTTAAGTCAACAAGAAAGTTATGATAGACTTCGATGGGCCTTTCATGATGGCGCCCCATCTCTTACCACTGTTTACAACTGCTTTAATGAGTTTAAACGTGGTTGCACTAATCTCACCGATGATCTGCGTGAGGGACGTCCTTCTACGGCGACGACTGCAGATAACGTTGTACGGCGTATGATAGAGACTGACAAAAGAGTGACTTATAAGCAGATTCGGACATGCTTAGGCATCGGTATGAATCACAAAATTCTCCATGAACATTTAGTAGTCAGGAAGCTTTGTGCCTAGTGGATACCTCATAATTTGACAGAGGCCCAAAAACTCCGTCGTGTTGATTGGTGTCGTGAAATGGATCAAAGATTTAATGGAGGTGACTCAAATTCTGTGCTCGATATACTTACGGGTAACGAAAGCTGGATTTATTGTTGTGCACCTGAAACAAAGAGACAGTCTGCTGTCTGGGTGATTCCTTCCAAGGAGTTGCCAACTAATGTGAATAGAGGTCGAAGCATGGGAATAAGATGGTGGCCTCGTGTTTCGGAAAGAAAGGTCATTACGCAACAATTGTTTTCGAAGATCGAAAAAAAGTTACTGCAGAATGGTACACTAACAATTGTTTCCCACTTGTCTTGGAAAAAGTTCGGGAGAAACGACTTCGCAGTAGGCTCCTCCTTCACCAAGACAACGCTTCGTCGCACACTACCAAGCAAACAATCGACTACTTCGCGAAGTAAGACTTGAAATCACTAGGTCACCCGCCCGCGGGTATAGCCCCGACCTCGCACCTTGATATTTTCATTTATATCCGAAAATAAAAGAAAAACTTCGAGGAAAACGTTTTATGGACGCCGAGGGAGCAGTAGCTGCGTGTCAAAATGCCCTCTAAGAGACCCCTAAGGACGAGTGGGCAAAGTGCTTTTCTCAGTGGTTTCATCGGACGCAGCGATGTTTTGATGTAAATGGACACTGTTTGGAAAAGATATAATATAACTAATAACTTGCTAGTTTGTTCAGTTTTTGATTTTCTAAGAAGTTTCAGTGTCACTCTCGTACTTAGATTTGAATAATTTAAATTTTTTCCTACAAAAGCGACACTGATTTTTATGCGGTGTTGAGAACAAATCACGTGAATAATAACGTTTAAAAACTACTAACATGCTAGAGTTATATAAATACGCTGTAGTTTTGTGGTTTCGGTCTTATTGTTCAATGGTAAACAAAATATCCAATACATCAAAACTTGCAGATTTGTATTCATAAGGACATTTTTATAGTCATCGTCTCAACTGGTATTAGTTCTATACATACAATGCAACAAAAGATAATCGCCTCACTTATTTTAATAATGGGACAAATGATATTAATCCATTACAGCTGTGTCGATATTATGTCGAACAGTCAACAACGGCATGGAACATACGGCAATTCAGTCGGACAACATTTTTTTTTAAGTATAAGCTAACGTATTCATTGATAAAATAATAATTCCATGATTAACAATTCACATACAATCAAAGCTACGTTTATTATATAAATTGCAAAGTAAATGTACAAAATTGTTATGTTTATATATGTGTTAAAGAAAAGTATGAGTTAGATGGAGTATGGTAGTGCCAGAGTTTGTATAACTATTGCATATTTAAACCACTCGAGTAGAGTATAATTATTCTGGGATTTTAATGCCGTTCGCCTTGGCGCGGTCTTCGTATTTCTTCCTCCACTTGCCTTCGGGATCGAATTTGGCGCATAGTTCATTCCAAATTTCATTTTCATGCTCAATTAAGTGCTCAATAATTTCATATGCTCCTTTCTCTTGCTTTTCTGTGCATTTCTCACAGCCTGTTTCTATCGCTTCTTGAAGATTATCTGTAAAATATTTAAAGAATATGTTTGTATTTGTATTTTAACCCACCTTCTTCGATCGAGGATAGATGTAGGTGTCTAGAGGCCACAGCATGTACTTACAATCAGATGAAATTTGTGCTTACTTGGTAACCATGCTTTTATAAAAAAATAAGTATTCGAATGCATTGCCAATGACTAGAACAGCAAATATTGCTTTTTGATTAACATTCACAAATTATTGTTGGTTATTAGAGTTAATAAGTTAATATAAAGGGTAATTCTAAGCTATATGATTTCTTTCAGTACAAATATTGCCTCCGTCTTATACAATAACTAAAGCACTGTGGTCACCAATTTTTTTTCTCCAAATCTACTAACGTTTCGGAATGAGTTTCCTTCGATGAAATTGTGAAAAAATTCCGCATAGCCATGCTTGGCAGGTGGATTAGCACCCGAAATATCAGACTTCTCACACTTCTTGGCACGGATTTGTATGTTTTACGTCTATTGTACAGGATACGGTTATTTATTCATTGCACCACCTTAATCCACTACCATGTAATAAATGTCACGTCTGTAACGACATCCGTGAAAGCTTGTCATTGTTTCGCGTAAAATATATGAACTAATGCATTTTTCAGTGATTTTTAAATAAAGACGGATAATGTGATAGGGTCGTTGTAGTTCCACCCCCAGACCTTATTAATTGCATGTCATATGTCGTGAAATTTAAAACGATAGCTGTAAATTACAGATTACGCAAGCAATCTGAGTTCAATCCTCACTGGATGCAATGAAGTTGGTAATTGCAATGTTAAATGTTGCTGAACCAGTTTCTTGGCGATAAAGAAATACATCGAGAAGGAAATTATTACATGTCTTAGAAATTTAAAAGAAAATATTTCAACGACTAAAAGTTCACAAACACGTATCTTGGCACCGCGATGTACATTTTCTTGCCTTCTCGGAAATAAGTGAAGCCCTGTGCCGTGTGCCCAGCAGTGGGACGAGGTTGTAACAGTTACTCTACTTTATGTGATAAAATAATTTGAGATATAATTAGAATTTTCAACATACGATTATCACATAGGAAAATGCTCTTTTTATTATTTTCATTGGGCCTAGTTATGCAAAAATGATTCTACCAACAAGATATTAAAATAATGACTAGATTAAACAAAACACAATATGAGACCAATTTCTTTTATCATGCTTGTGTACGTTCTTTTGATATAACATTTATGATTACTATGATGAACCAATTTTTATTTTCTCGCAAGTATGAGGTTTTTACTTACGTCTGATTTAGATTATTTATGCATGTGTCATGTAGAAAGAATGAACGAGGAAAGAGTGACAAAGCAAATTTATGTTGCAGAAGTGAACGGTAGGGTCGGGAAGGGACGCCCTAGCTGAAGGTTTATCGACCAAATCGGCGATACATTAAAAATGGGCCAGATTAGGAGTACCCTTAACCGACGAGCGTGTATGCGTAGATATATGGATGTAAAAGAGGCGAGAGAGGTGTGTCAGGATCGCGTCAAATGGAAGTCCGTAGTCTCTGTCTACCTCTCTGGGTGACAGGCCGTGAGTGTTTATGTATGTATGTGTATATGTGATATAAAATGAATGCATTCAAATGAAATCTTACCCTTTAGCTCTTTTCCCTCGGGGGTGCATTTCCCTTTATCGAGGACACAGTTTGCGTATGCCTCAAGTAATCTCTTATTGTCCTTGATTTCCTTTAAATTGATGTTGTCATATTTATCAGTGTAAGTTGACTTCTCGTCTGCCAAAATGGCAGCTACCACGCAAAGCACAACGAGCAAACTTTTAAACACCATCTGAAAGTGATGTAAAAATATTTAAAAAAAATCTCTGTAGTTGAGTTACTTATCAACAGTTATAAACACTGCAAACTTCAAAACCCACCGTCACTAAGCAAGTAACGACTCAAATGCTCAACGTTATTCAAAGAGCACCGATGTGTTATGTTTTGTATTGCAATGCTACAAGTATATATAGTGGTTTCCGTCGTGTCCCAAACATCTAATTTGCCCCTAGTCTGATCATTACCTCGTTTGTGCTTAACGCATAAAAACACGTCATTATACAGTATGATTTAATTTTCAAATTAGACATTTTAAAACAAACTACAACATAGAATATCAAATTATAGAAAAACATTCCATGTGCAACAGATATTCAAAATTCTTCCAAGATTTCAATAATGTTATCCCTTTCGTAGGTCAATAATATTTAAAAGTTATTCTATCCTCTGGTTTATTACTGATATTTATATTTAAGCCTGGGTGCGAACAACTGCAGGGAGGGAACTTAGCACCATCCTTTGGCAAAGGTCTATGTACATGTATGTGTATCATAATAAAACAATTCTTTCAGTGCTATGACTTTTAAACCAAAATAAAAATTGAATAAAACTGTCAATTTTATCGAGTTTAATTATTCTTATTTTTAATTCCCGACTTTTCGAGAGGGTAACATCCCTTTACAAGGTACATGAGTGTACAAGCTTTTTTTTAAAATGTTGTTAGGGCAAGCAAAACGATCTATAAAAACTCACGTAAAATAACATATAGCTGACGTGAAATACCAAAGCTTCGAGAAGTCTGCAGTTTGTGAAAATATCCTAGATGGCCCCCGCCATTATATCAGATTTGATAGACCGCAAATTCTCGCGAAAGAATATCGATTCCTGCCAAGGATGTTACGTGAGGCTATTGAAATTAAAAAGCATCCTAATTTCAATAGAGAGGGAGGATGGGTACTACCACCCCTGCTTAGGATCCTGTAATTAATAAAATTAAAACTAAGCCCGAGCATACCACTGCAAGACTTTAAGACACAGTAGGTTCATTATGCGTAGATGGGACCAAAACTAATAATTAAAAAGCTGAAGGTACTCCGGGTTAACTCTGACATCGGGATGTTAATCAGGTCAGTGACCATGTGTGCTAGAAAGTACCCGAAACGTTGGAAAACACAACAATTAAACGAAATAAAATCCGTATAATTGGTTTTATTCAATGTGTAGTGTTCGCGTTAATTTAAGAAATAATTACAAAAATTTTTTTTGAGGTATCAGTCTATATTATATTTATTATTATTACTAAAGGTGATAATTTATTTATTCTGGATTAATTTATTACCACGGGCAATATCTTGAAGTCAACAGTGGTTTATTTCTTTTTAATTTTTGTTTCATTTTATGAAACAACCTATATATGTATAAGAAAATTATTAAGGGGAAACACAATGTTTCTTAAAATCTTACGTTTTTGATGATTTGTTTGTTGCCTCATTGAAAGGTTGAAACAAGCATTACAAAATAATATTTTTTGCTACGTAACTCATTGTCTAATTCCCTCGAAGTCAACCCAGTATTTCCTCTAAATTTTAGTAATGTTTTATGTCATTTGTAGTATATTCGTCGCACATTTACCATAATTTATTATTTAAACTCATAACTTTTCATTTTTAGTTAGGGTATTCTTCGAAACGTTAAATATTAAAATATTGGCTCATTCTTTAAGTAATAGCATAAATCTTATTTATATAAAGAGATATTATTGATGTTATTGGTTTAACGGTGGCTCTACCAATTTTAGCGTTAAATTGTGTATATATATAGTTGTGACATTGAACATCATGTAAAGTGGACGATGTGTGTCGCAATTAACGATTTTTTCACAAAGAATATAATTGACATAAAATATATCGCAAATATTTCCATTTTCGGGTAAGTCTACGCCCCGAAATGTATTATTATTACAGATTGATAATGATGATGGCGATGATAACGGTGACTTTAAAACTGTTATAAATAGCTGATAGAAGGAAAACTCAAACTTAAAGAAAAAAAGAAGCCAACAGTTTGCCTAATCATAACTAGTTACGGCAATACAGAGACACCTGCACCCAATTTCAAAAATAAATCGAAAGCCCGATACCATCGTAAACTAAATAAAACAAATTTTATTGTTTAATCCCCACGTTTCGGGTGCTTTGAAGCATCATGGTTACCGAGGTACTATACTTCTAAAAGTAAGCTAAAATTAAACGCGTTTTTATACCAGCGTAAAATAGCAGCTTAATGCTGCTGTGTTTAGCATGGCGAATGTAGAGAACCGGAGACCCTTTTTACTGGAAAAGAGGCATTTTATCTTAGTCCTCACGGCTGACAATGCATCTGTATTTTAATTTGCAAACGAAGATAGATGTAGATGTATAGGGGCCATAACAACCACTTACCATCAGGTGGACTGTGTGCTCGTTTGTCACCTTTATTCCATAAAAAAACGCGATAAAATCCTTAAAATTAGCTTTATTAAGTGTGTAGTATTCGTATAAATATAAGAAATCATTCAATAATTCATTAAAGCCTATTAAAATCCACTGCTGAACATAGGCTTGCCCATAGATGAGGAATCATAACCCTAAAATAATTTGGAATGCCTCACAACATTTAATAAAAGTAAAACTTTTTCTCCTTATACCGCCGTGGACATGCTGTTGCTAAGCAGCTAAAAAGGTGAAAGGGTTGAACCTACCCGGATAGACTTTTAATCTTCTGCTATGAAATATTTTGCCAATTTTGTATGGAAGACGCAGTTAGTACTTTCACTTATTGTGTTTTTGTCAAAATATTGTCAGAAGCACAGGCTTCTTTGGCAGTTAGGAAATCGATACTATTTCACACCCATGCCTCGGAAAGCGCGTTAATTCTTGCTCCTGCGCCTGGTCTCTTTCCAGTCGTATTAGATAGCTGTCCCATTGCCCGTATTAGGTAGCTGTGAGAGTGAGGGAATAGAGAATGCATCTGTGCTTGCGGACACACTCGTACACTACTATACTGTCCTGTGCATACTACTAAGTAACTATGTCTGGAATTCGGTCTAGAGAACATTATTCTAGTGCATAAGTGTGTACACAATCACAGGTGCACTCTCTAATCCCCCACTCTTCCCGCAATCCGACACGACGTAAATCGCCGCAGCTGCGTTACGGCTGCTTCACGAATGGGTCGGCTCAACTGGGAAAAGACCCAATTATCATATATATTAGCGTAAAATAGCAGCATAGTACTAGCTTATTTCGTTTGGTAAGTACGAACAAACAGAAACCTTCTTTATTGGCAATGATGCATTCCATCTAGTGTTCTAGGGTGACAATGCATCTGAGCATAGATACGTTGGTCAATGAGCGACAGCATCCACTTATGGTCGGATCGGTAGATTGTTTGTCATGTATGCTTGTTAAAAAGATTCCATCCCATTATCCAGTTTATGATCTCTTTACCCTGTTCCAAACTAGCCTGTCCAAAATAAACCATTTAGTATTTTTGTTAATTTTACTACCTATATTAATTATATTCATAAATAAAAATATTTGAGAAATATGAACAGATTCACCTTAAGTTCTTATTTCACTTCAAGAACCATGAACATTTGAACGAGAGATCTATTGACTTTGAAAAATTGTTGCGTCAGTTCGATTTTGTCACTTTGTGTTATGAATGTGGTAAATAGACTAGAAGGATTATTATTTAAGTAATTAGATAGCCTAGCAGTCAGTTTAAGGTACGTGATATACAATATAAGTTGTTCGCATAATTAAAGTTAAGAAGACTAGCTGTTTTTTTTTGTTGGTATAAAGTACATACAAAATATATTATATAGATCATCATCATCTTGACAAATCCACTGCCGAAGTTATGAATCTAATTCCGCCGACAAACTGTTACGCAGTTTGGTGGGTGTGAAAAATGTACTAAAGGTTTGGTCCAGAATAAATGATTTATTATTATTATTATTATTACTATGCCTCCCCCAAAGAATGCCACAAAGTAAAGAATCTCTTTCTGGGTCGTCACCTCATCTAGTGGTGGGGACTGACCACCTGAACCTTTTATGATTTTTTTTATTTGACGATACTCACAATTGACATTTTACTAATTATTGTAATGTTATTTCTCTATATTTTATTTATAACTATAATAATAAAAAGAAAACTAAAACTAGAAACCTCATTATCATATATTCCTACTCCCCGTGGTATCGTGCCAAGAACGCTGGCTGCGTTTCCCCGCTGAATGGTTATACTTAGTCTCTGAGCGAGAAAAGAACCAGCCTTCTTATCACCAGCAGTAACAAACAGCCGCGAATGGAGTTCCTTTAGGAATTTAACCGCACGTGGACCCCAGAGACCGATAGTCTCTACAGCAAATGGCACAAATTGGTAGTCATCTCTCAGAGACTCATATTTGCGCCACTTACTCAGTTCAGCTGCCTCTGATGCCGCCCCGGTTCTAAACGAGGTACCCCTTAGTTGAGAGGCCGCCAGAGTGTCTACGCAAGTAGCATCCCACACTAGAGTTTTACCTCTCTCCCAAGGGACCAATGTCATACCGTCGGGTCTCCTGCCATAGTCTCTAAATATTCCATATGGCTCTAAAACCCTTCGGATGACATCGTTCAAAGAACTGTGTCGTGAAGTTATGAATGTAATACCGCCGACAAACTTTTTATTTTATATGATTATATATATATATATATATATATATATATATATATATATATATTTTAATATGATATATCATACTAGCGGTTACGCACCGCAAGATATACGTAAGCTCAATTTTCGTCACCTGTCGGGGCTGAACAAGTATACTTTCTGTAGAGCCGCTTCTCTAATAAAGAGTTTATTGTAACGCGTCCCTCCTTCTTCATAAAGTCAGGCAGCTGTTCATCCTTTAGGTTCCATTGGCTTCTACCAAATTGCGCTACCTTCAGCTCACCGATATTTCTTGAGACAAGTTTTGCGT